TGATTTAAAGGACAGACCTTCAGAACTGATGCCTGCATAACAAAATGTTCTCCGGCTTTGAGGTTGGTCTTTCTCAGCACTATCTCTTTCTGAGGACTGCATTTTGTTATTTTTGAGGCTGGGGATGGACTCTATCACTCTGTGTGTGTGTGTGTGTGTGTGTGTGTGTGTGTGTTTAATAACTCCAAGATTGGGCTTCATCTTTCTTTCTTCTTTCTCTTCTGGTGGAAAACAGCTCAGCCAAACTCAGGAAGATGGGCCTGAATTCCTCCAAGGCTCGTAGGAAGGTCACCAAAGTGACCCCCATGCCAAGCAAAGAACGAGAACCCAAACAGCCTGGCAGCGTGACAGTATATTCCTTCCAGACCCCGCCGAGCTCATTTGTCTCCCCACCAGGGAGAAACCCAGTTTTGGAAAGGCAACTTCCACCTTTGCGAGAGATGTGGTATGGAAGATATCCCACAGGTAACCCTAAACTTTCCTTTTATCTTTTTAAAACAGGATGTGATGTACGTTTTTAAAAAGTTCCACTGACTTCAAGGCCTTCTTTGGTCTTTTCTTCCCCCACCCCTTCCCCGTTATCTAAAATGTGACGTTATACTTTTGGAATTGTAACTAGAACTTAAAATGTTTGAAGTGGCTGGATTGCACCATCACTTCTTACACTTCATCATTCCACGTAGCGTTCATAGATATGTTTTCAAACCATATCTGAATGCAACCAAATGCAAGTGTAATAAGGGCTCTTTGCAAAGAGATTGAGATTTATAAGTCATGCAGGGATGGAAACCCATTATGAGATGGTTTCTCTTCCATGAGAATGGCACACCGGTACCAGCAAACTTCAGGTGGGTCTGTTCTTTTCCAGTGTTTACTTGACCCTGATTATCTGAACTATTCTATCACATATTTGTTCTCATCTCTTGGCTGGACAATCAGTATTCTCTAACTGAGGTACCCTCTAGACCAGTGTGTGGAATCAAAACGCAGGACACAAATGCAGAATAATCAAGGCTTCACTGCAGTGTTTA